TTTCAGTCTCTTTGTTTCTTTAACTATACCCTGGACAAGCATACATATTCCACGAGAAACGGTGTGGAGGTCGTTTGGTATATCTTCCCAATGCTATAAGCGACCCTGACGATGTCCACGTCAGACCTTAGAGTGAAACGACCGCCGAAGAACAGGGCGACTCATCGAGTACGACTGTGGTCACGGTCGTTTTTCTTCTTTTTTCTTTTTTTTTTTTTTCCTTCTTGCCTATCTCTTTCTCTCTCTCTCTCCCCTCCCCCTTTCCGCCGCTCTCTTTCCCTCGCTTCTGCTCTTCCCGCTCTTACCATTACCTAGAACACCTTGTAACGGTTTACGAACAAAACGAATAAAATGATGATGCATGATTATTCAATTCTCGCAAAGTTCTCAAATTTTTATAGTACCTTACTATAAGCCAATGTTATATATTTTATTGATAATAGCATAGGCATATTATGTGATATGAATATATACCTAAATGGTATAATAGAACTATACTGTACGATATAAATGTGTTATAACATATGTTATATCATATACACATACACACACACACACACAGATATATATATATATATATATATAAAATTTAATTTTACTATATGGTATAAATATGTTATACATATGTTATACATATGTTATATACAGTATAATTTTAGTATAGCATAACAAATTATATACTCAACATTTTTCAACCTTTTTGCCATCCGTTTATTTACCATGGTCCGAATGTTTATAATGTAATATAAATATAATTTTTAAGATCCAAGGCAGTGATCGGGAAGTCACTGTATATTATTTCAAAGATACGGCTGTTACGGCTGGTATTATACCGAGCTAACGAGAACATTCTACGAGAATATTCTACAAATCTCTTACAAGTTTTTTTTTCTTTTTGCTTTAGCACGTAATATAGTAGCACTTATTATTTCGCTATCTTATAGGTTTTTAGAAACTCTGATATATACTATATCAAATGTTATTTTAATGTCGTGTTATATATATATATATATATATATATATATATCTTATACTATAATAAAATTTATTAAGAGACACGAGAATGGTAGGATGCATCATCGCTGAAAAATTCATTGTATTTCTATCGCCATTTTATTAGGTACATACGTAACTTTTTTGTATGATCCACACGTACCGCTTCTTGGCGCGAATAAAATTGACATACCAAAATGGCGTCTGTCCTTCCAATTCCATCACATGTTATGCCAACTGTTACTCCCTTCTCTCATATTAGTCTTTATACTCTAATTGCAACGCAGATAAACGCATGATCATTCGATATGGCGAGGTTAATGAGGAAAAAAACAAAAAGCAAGCAAAAGAAAAAGGAAGGAAAAATAATTTTTAAAAAAATGTAAATTTCAAACGTGAAAGGTATGATTTTTGGCGGGAAAGTTAACGTTTAAATTTTCGGCGCGCGCTTTTTCGTTTTTCTTTTTCTTTCTTTCTTTTTTTTTTCTTTTTTTTTTCTTTTTTCTTTTTTCTACATTTTCTTCTTGACCATTCATCGTTGGCCGAACGATCAAAAGTGATAAATGTCTAGAAAGAGTCCGTGAACTTGCTCGCTTGATTTTCTAAGACTTCCTTGTGGCGATCGTAAGCAGAGAAAATGTTGCGTTCACGCTCTCTTCTCAAGGTTGTCGAGGCTCGAAACGACGACGCAACCCAGACGATGTGCGACCGGTTCCTCGAGGGCTGCTCTTACTCTTGCTATATAGGGTGGCCCAAATTAAGTGTTATCAACAGTTTCCTATCGAATCGTTATAACCGACTAACTTTTTTCTTTTTTCTCTTCTTTATTCATTTATCTTTTTTTCTCTATTTACAACAACGAAATCGGCAATAACGTGTCTAGTAGTTATCATCAAATCTAATAATTATTTTTTGGAAGAAATAGCATTCAATATAAAAAAATGTAGATATATATATATATATATATGTATGCACGCATATAATAATAATAATTTAAAAAGAAAAAAAAAAGAAACTCTTGTAATGATTCGATCGAAAAATAATTTGTAACATGTTTCATGTGAATCACCCTATAGAACGAGGGTGGACCGCATTAAGTGTTACCAACACTTTCCAATCTTTATAACTATCAACTTTCTTTTTTATTATCAAAAAAAAAAAAAAAAAAAAGAAAAGGAGGAATAGCACGATCTGCATTAATATATTGTATAGCTCTTATCAAATCTAATAAAATTTTTTTTTAGAAATATGTTGTTCCACGAAAAAAAAAATATACAATAATAGATTGAAGAGAGTTAAACCTCTTTTTTTTTTTGTATAACAATCTTTAACGATTTAGTTTAAAAATAGTTTGCAATGTTTTGCGTGAATCATCCTGTAGATCAAGGCTGGCCACGTGTCTTCCTTTTCCTCTACTTCCTTTTCTCTTTTTTCTTCCTTCCTTTTTTTTTCTCTATCTCCTGCAGAGTTTAAAATTCTTCTTACGTATCTCTTTTATCGTTAAAAGATAGGAAATCAAATCAAATAATATTATATTTGCAAAAACCAAGAAAGCAAAACAATAAAATGGAAAGAGGCAAGTTGATATATGATATTTTGAATAATTTCTCTTATATAATACACAAAATAATAATACCTATGATTATCACTTATTCCGTCTGGCGACAACTAAAGTCTTTTTTGTATGTTTGTGTATATGTGTTTTTATATTTCTTTTTTTTTTCCTTCTCATAATAAATTTTTTTTTCCGCTCGTCATTTTATATAAGTGTATATGTGTGTGTGTATATATATATATATATATATATATATATGCATCTAATAAATATTGCATTGAAATAATTATGATCTACTGATATAAGTTTTTTTGTTTGTTCCTTTTTTATCTTTTTCTTTTTTTTTTTGCGTCCGCTAATTTATAACGAAAAAACTAATTTCGCATAATCGCGTACTTATAATAAATATAATGTATGACTACCTCGTATTAAAAAAGAAAAAAAAAAATGGCGCGCTTCGCTTCAAATAGTTGACAGGTAAAAAAGAAAAGAAAATCACTTACATATTTTAAAATACATTGAGAATCGTGCTAATTAGATGACTGTTACATCATTAACGAATAAGTGAATCTTGTTTAATATTACGTAATAGAAAATTGAATATTATTTAAATCTTTTTTTCTTTTCTTTTCCAATAAAGATTTTCTACAATTCAGTTGTTCTCAATCAGTTGAAAAAAGAAGGAAAAAAATTAAATTATTTTTTGTTCGTTTGCTTGTTTTTCGTTCTTTTTTTTTTCTTTTTTTTTTCTTTTTTTTTTTTTTTTTTGAAAACCTTGCTAAAATTATTGCTAAAATATTATTCTATTTTTATCTTTCATATGACGAGCATAAATTATATGTTAAATAAACAAAGAGTATATATGAGAATGAAACTTATTTTAATATATCATTGATACCAGTAACGTTATCAATTTGTCTTTTTCCTACGTAAAAGATATGTCATCCGGTGATTAATTTATCAAAATTTAGATACCCTTATTAATTTGAAACAAACAAAAATGATAAGATTTAATTAGTTATCTTTTTAACTTGTTTTATTGAATATTTATAAAAATATATAGTTAATGTGCGCGCACGTGCGCGTGTGTGTGGGTATGTGTGTTTAAGAGGAAATATCCAGTTTGTATATATATATATATATTTGATTACATTTCTAAATATAATATTAAAACCGCTGGAAAAAGAAAACATTATAGACAAATATTGCATCGTGACGAAGGGCGATATATTTCGTAGTGATGATAATTTGTCTTTCCGATAACTTTGGGGAGTTCAATGGAAGTGGTTAAATTTTTTTTTTTTTCTTTTTTTTTTTTTTAACTGGAATCTTTTATTCTTTATCGAATATTATTGCGGTTGACGTCCATAAGTTCTTAAGAATTACTCATATATTTTATATAAGCCATTGTTGAATTATGAAACTTTGAATTTTGACGTGGCTCTGATATTAGAGTTATCGAATGTGCGTGTGCGTGCGTGGATGTGTGTATGTGTATGTGTATTTAATTGCTCATCATTTCCACAACATTCTGAACACCAAAAATATGGAAGTACAAAAGAAACGATGATCTTGTGTTTGATTCATGACCAATGAAATTATTGTTTGCATTCCAATTGAATTTTAATTAATTACAAAGTCCTTCATTCGTGTCGCTCTAGCTGATAATAGAATTATTCAAATGGATCGTCCATGAAATATATATATATATACACATATATGTATATATCGAATAACAAGAATTAAAATCATTTAGGCCTATTAGAGTGCAAAAAATGTAGCCTCTCTTCTTCTCTCACTATTTTTAAACTTTCGCATTGAGTTTGCATTTATAAACATTTTGATGAAAATTGGCGATGATCCAACATTTATTATTCGTCACCTAATGATGACAAATGAATGTCTTATTTAACACTAATTATATTATCCAATTAACCCAATTTGCTATAATGTAGACAAGGGATAATCAATATACATATCTATCCAAAGAATCAAATCATCATTATTTATCAATCGTTTACGATATCGCCTGGTATATTTAATCTTCAAATAATAAATCTTGATTTTTTTTTTTCGACGGACTTTACCAAAAAGAAAACTTTAAAGAAAAAGAAAAAGAAAAAGAAAAAAAAAATAACAAAACAAAACAAAACAAAAGAAAAAACAAAAATAGAGAAACAAAAAAAATGACAGAAAGAGAAATATATTTCAATTTTTTGTAAACGTTAATTTAATAAGTAATATTTTGAACAACGTGGCACTAAGTTAAAGAAGAAACGTAAGATATCGACATGATGCAAGATTGTGCACCCTCATATTACACTTCAGCGGTACGGAATTGGTTAAATGGGAATTTCTACGATAAGTGGATTGAATGTATGTACTATGACTAAAAAGATCACTAGATCGTCTTTCCTTGCTATTTCTTCTTACGGAGATATAGAAAACAATTTTTTCTTGTTTCTTTTTCCTCTTTTTTTCTTTTTATCTGTTTCTTATTTTTTTTTTCTTTTTTTCTTTTTTACGTATGTTCGAAAACATTATCAGTATTTATAATAATGGGACGTAAAAAATAAAAATCGTACGATAAGATAAATATTTTTTATTTATCGCATTGAAATAATAAAAACTTATCTTTGACGATAAATGATATTATGATAACTAAATATTTTGTAAGTAGTTTTTATCGTGGGAAAAAAGAACTGGAACGACAAACGGAACAACATCGATGTGCATATTCAATTCAATTGTTTTACGCTTCGTTACAAGTCCACTACAAGAATATGTGATAAATAATATAGATATTAAAAAAAAAAAAAAAAAAAAAAAAGAAAACAATAAACCTCACTTTTACAGGACTCACAAAGATTATTCCAAAGTCAATTAATTATCACTGCGTTGTCTTTCTTCCTTCGACATTGGTATGAAATACATTTTTTTTTTTTACAGCATTCCTAATACTTAGGAAAATAATCGCGCGTATGAATTTTAAATCGGACGTACTGTGCATGTGTATGTGTGTTTGTGTGTATAACATGTACTTATATACAGGGTACCCTGTAAAAGTGTTCTTAGGTGTTTTTAAAAGTTTATATTAAAAGATAGTATTAAAAAAAAAAAAAAAAAAAAAAAAAAAAAAAAGTTTTGTGATAACGTTTACACTTCCGTGAAAAATATAAATATCAATTTGGTCTTTGATCTTTTCTATTTCGATCGATTGGTTATATATCTTACGGAAAATTTTATGAGAATACTTATCAGATAAAATTATTCCAAAAAAAAAATCGAAAGCTTCCTCGTGTTTTCGAATAGTTTCCTCAATCGACGAGGAGTCATCACGATATTGTTCGTTGTTATCCTTCTTTACTCTTTCCCTCTTCCTCCCTTTCTCTCTCTCTTTCTCTCTCTCGCACTCTATCATTTCCGAGCTCTACCGATTTCGCTCAACGATTGCTAAACCTTAATTGCGATCTCGAGAATTTCCTTGAAGAAAAAGAAACACGTCTTTCGTTATATCGACAGGCTAGAGATGTTAGCTAACTGTCGAGAAATAATATTGATGTTAATACGATTAGATATATAAATTAAAAAAGATTACAAGAGGTTTGCATAATTATTTATTTATCTACGTTTTACCATATATATAGTATTTATTATATACAATACTATATATACAATAAATATATGCATACACATATATATATATATATATATATATATATATATATATATAATATACTACTCTATGTACTATGCTGTTATGCTACGCTGTGCTATGCTATACTGTATTGTATTATGCTATGCTATACTATATTATATTATGCTATATTATACATTACAAATATAAATGTTAAATTATTAAAATATTTGCATATGAAATGTGTTTGCTTAGAATAATAAACAGGTAATACATGCTAATGGTGTTTAATAATCATTTTAATTTTTTTCTTTTCTTTATTTGTTTTTTTTTTTTTTTTTTTTTTTTTTTTTTTTTTTTTTTTTTTTTCCTTTTTTTAGGTAAACTCACAGACGGAGAGAGAGAAAGAAAGAGAGAAAGAGAGAGAGAGAGAGAAGAGATTTACAAAAAAAGAAAAAAGAAACAAAAAAATGAACGAAATTGATTCCTGAGAGATTAAAAACCGTGGCTGGCGAAGGTATTCCTTCCGATAGGAAGGAAAGGAAAAATATAGAAATTGATAATAAAGGAATAATATCGAGGGACGAGATTCTTATACTCGTTGGTGTGCGATTTAGTGATCGTAAGTGGAGTTATTGTTTTTCAACGGGCCGACGAAGGTGGAAGGAGGAAGAGTGGCCGAGGACGAGCAGAAGAAGACGGAGAAAAAGAAGAAGAAGAAGAAAAAAGGGAAAAGGTGAATGAGGAGATTTATATTTTCGTTCTAACACGAGTATGATCGGCATAGCTCGAAGAAATTGGGCTTTGCGCCTATCAGTGGTGCTCAACGTTTGCGTACTACTTTATGTATGCGCCCATTTTGGTTCTTCTTCCGGTCCTTGGATCGAAGAACCACCAACCAATTGGGCTGCCGCAGCACCACCAGCTCCAGCTCCACCTGCTGTGGCACAAGCACCACGATCAAGAAATTCGATTTTACCAGGGGATGTTATCCCTGCTAGTGGCATTGCTGGTGGTGCTGCTGCTGGTGGATCGTCAATCGATCGATTTTCGAATGATACTCTGATCTCTGTCCTTTCTTCTTCCTTTTCATCTTCCTCCTCCTCATCGTCTTCATCTTCTTCTTCTTCTTCTTCTTCGTTACTATCACCACCTGTCCCACCCTCCTCAACGAACAAAAGAAACAAGAAGAAAGGTTTACTGAATAAAATGATCGGAGGAATCGTCACCATGAAACCTACTTCGAAGGAGGCCAAGGTCGAAATATTCAACGATACGATTCGACGAGACGATCGTGCTCGCAATCGTACGGTATGTATAATTAATCATTTTGTTCAATTTATTAATTAAAATTGATTAATAAATATTTGTTTAATCGATATGATCCAGAGATTAACAAAAAAAAAAAAAAAAAAAAAAAATAAAAATAAAAATAAAGAAAAAATATTTCTTTATATATTATATATATATATATATATACCTTTGTAGATCGATCGTTTAATATAATTGTTAAATATGATTTTAAACGTAATTGAGAATAATCCTTTAATATGATATTATTTCTAATTCATCTCCATGTTTTCTTCTTTTTTTTTTTTCTTTTTTTTTTTCTTTTTTTCTTTTCTACCAAAAGAAAAACATCAATGGACCGGCACCGGCACCAATACCAGAAATACCAATTGTCAGTCTGAAGGAAGCCATATCTTGCAACGAAAAATCATTAGAACCTAGAAGAGCCCAACGTGGCGATTATTGGGTTCTATATAATTACGTACCTATGAGTATGAACGTGAAATGTTGGGAAAGCGTAACATATACAACTCATGCCGATTACACCTTTCTGGATAACTTGGAACCATTGTTGGAACGTTGGAGAGCACCGATATCGATCGCGATGCATGCTCCTGGCACAGACTTTTCGGCGACATTAGACGCGATCAAATATTCGAGGAGTTGTGGTAGCCCATTGGTTTTTCAACTGGTGACATTTCATGTCTTTTTCAGCAGTAAACACGTGCCAAAATCGGTAAATAAACGTCTTTGTTTCTCTTTCTTTTTTTTTTTTATCTTTATCTATCATAGCTCGTTCGAATTGTTTGCAAGTATCAATTGTAAATTATTCAATGAAAATTAATTCTAATGATCGTTTTAATGATCGAGTATTTCTTTTCCTTTTTTCTTTTTTTTTATTTTTTTTTTTTTTTTTAAATACTTTAGGTTCCACCATCGGAAAAAGTTATGTCCGATACGTACAATTGTACGTTGGGACCACCCTGGGTAAATATAACGCTTTCGAAGATGTACAAAAACGAAAAGAAACTTCTTTATCCCGTTAACGTTGGAAGAAATATAGCAAGGGAATCAGCACCGACATATTATGTTTTTGCAAGTGACATAGAATTATATCCGAGTCCAAATCTTCCGGAAAAGTTTCTTGAAATGATCCGTAGGAGAGATCAACCGGCATTGCAAAAATCTAATCCGAAGGTTTACGTCTTGTCCATATTCGAAGTTAACGAAAAGTATCGACCACCGAACAATAAAACTCATTTGGTAAGCTTTCGACGAAAGGCGCATTTTTATTAGCCGTAATAACGAGCTGCGATATCGTGTGCCGTGTGATGGTCGACCGAGTGAACTTGATGGCAATTAAATTCATGAAAGTGTGTGTGAGGCACAGAGAAAAAGAGAGAGAGAGAGAGAGAGAGAGAGAGAGAGAGAGAGAGTAAGTGAATGAGTGAGTATACACGTATATAAGTCATGTTGATACATACGTTCAGTCGAGTGTATTAGGTATGCGTTAGAATGTTGCTTTACTATCAATATATGAATGTGATGTATATCTACGTATACGTGTATACGTATATGTCTAGGTATATACATATACATATACATATATATGTTCTATAATACGTGTATACGACGTGCGAGGGTCGTTTAATCAACGAAGCTTCCTTTGACCGTGGACCATGATGGGGACGGAATTAATGCTGTTATCTCGTTTCGCTTCGTCTCTCCCTCTTCTTACCTATTTTCAAATCACAACTTTTAGATTACTTTCTCATGTTCCACTATTATTATATTTATATATATATATATATATATATATATATATTTATATATCTTATATATTATATTACCAGGTACAAATGTTGAAAGCAGGAACAGCTATTCCATTTCATAAGAAGCTTTGTTCCGGTTGTCACAACGTTCCACGTAGCAAGGAATGGCAGGAAGCTCCTGAAACCGAAGGTCTTCATGTATTTCACGTTGGAAAGCGTACAGGTAGCTTCGTTCATTGGGAACCTATTTTTATAGGAACTAACGAAGAACCTTTGTACGACGAACGACTCAGTTGGGAAGGAAAAAGTGATAAAATGCCGCAGGTACGTCATTGATCTTGATCGATCACTAATTAATAATATGTATACTTTTTATCCTTTTCTAATCACTTATATAAACGCATTCATACACGCACACATTTGCATTATCTTATTTGGTACAAGTATAATATCATTACTCATATGATATATTTATTATGATTTTAATCCATCTGAAATAAGAATGTTATATAACGATGATATTATCAAATAGGTAAGAATATTACTAACATATATTATCATGGTAATATAATTAAATATATATTAATTTGTTCTTATCATTTTAATTAAATCAAACATATATATTTTATTCAAATCTTTTAACAATGCTAAAATTAATTTTAATTAATCCATTTCATTTTCATGAACGAGAAATATGATTAAGGAAAAAATAATTTAATTGTCTAATCGTTAAAATACATCCATCAGGGTTACGCTCTCTGTGTCCTTGATTACGACTTTCTCATTCTGGACAATGCATTCTTGGTTCATCGTCCCGGTATAAAGATCTTCAAAAAGGATCCTCATCGTGAAATGCTTACTGCTAAGACGAACGCATTGATCAAGAAAATTATCGTACCAGAATTAAAAATCTTATATGGTACAAGAAAAGGATGTGCTGTCTAGCCATTACCATCACGGGCGTCTTAGCGCTCTAGACGGACAAAAACAAGTAAATCAATACTGACTAGCTCGCTAATTTGAAAGAGCTACCATTCGATCTTAATGTTTCTACGCCAATAATTCTAAACGCAAATTAAGCGTGTTACTAAAGATCGTCATTCAAAATGTTAATATGTTCCATGAATCGTGCCAATTCAATGATAAATTATCAAAGATCCAATATCGTCGTTTTTCATTAACGTTTCTCTAAGGTTTTTCTAAAGTCAAAAATGTTGTGATAAAGAGAAGAAGGAAAAAGAATATGCAAATCGATAGAGACAGAGAAGGAGAGAGAGAGAGAGAGAGAGAGAGAGAGATTGTTAGCAAAGCTATAACGTAAATTTCTCAAGTGAAGACTGGATTTGTCAATTAAATTAATTTAAACAATTGATATTAATTTTAACAATTAATTCATTGAAGTGAAATATCAAAAGTATTTAACGAGTGTTAATATTTTATTAAAAAAATTTATTTTCCATATAATATCGATTCTATCGACAAGATAATAATAGTTAAATATAGATATGATAAATATTATGGAGATAAGGTCGATGAACAGAAATTCTTTTTTTTTTTTTTTTATTTTTTCTTTTTTTTTATTTTTTTTTCTACCTTTTCCTTTTTTATCAAGTTATATAACAACTTCATATACATTAACAACGTTCACTTTAGAAAAACCTTTAGATATTATTAATATATTTACATACATATATTTCTTTGGAATCATTCATTTTATCATAAATCAAATGATCGCGCACGATGTATTTTATAAGTATTCAAAGAAAATAATGTATATGATGTTTTATATAAGTTTCAACTTCGATCGTCGAAGAATAAGATTAACAATAACAACAAATGTTTACAACTCGTATAAGAATATTCTAGTCTTACGTCAATGTGTATCAACCTACATTTAGTACACTACTCGCATATAATGGACACTGAGAATCGAATAGACTTTCGCTGATTGCTTTGATCGATCCGTTACCAAATCGTCGTTGTTGAGCGTGTCTTTAAAAGTATCATAACACGACAGTATCTTTCTTCTCTTTACTTTTACTTTAATATTAGAACTACCGATGTATTTTCTTTTTTCTTTTTCTTTTTCTTCTTTTTTTTTTCCATATTAATCGATATAAATAATATATTTGAGAAGAGAAATTAATTTTAATTTATTTTATTATAATGAATGAAGAAAAAGAAAAAAAGAAGAAAAAAAAAAAAAAAAAAAAAAAAGAAACTAGGATACATTTCCAATGATTATGTTTTGTGTATAATTATAATAAAAAAAAAGAAAAAAGAAAAAAAAAAAGAAAAAGAAAAGAAACAAATAAATAAATAATTTTAATTATATCGGAAGTCTTAATATTAAAACTTTGAAAAATTCTTTTCACGCGCAACGTATCAATGTACGGATAAATGAATGAAATTCATTATTATATTGTCAACTTTCAAAAATTATATTTTAACTGAGAGATTATAATCTTAGCTACGTTATCCAAACTTTATATTAATATTCTGATCAATTGATACTTCAAACGGATGCACAGACGATTTCTCTAGTTAAATTATAATAAAGAAAATAGCCAAACATATTTGAATCGAGGAAGCGTTTATACGTATACAAAGTATTTGTAAATTGAAGAAAGTCACTGTCCAAGACTGAGAAATATTTGATAACAATTTTCTAGAAACAGAATTGCGGGTAGTCGTTCGGTGAAATAAAACAAAATGGAATATTAATAATTTGAAATGTGTTATTAAAAGGAGCACAGGCAGTGGAGGAGGTGGGGGAGAGGAAAGAAAAAAAAAAGAATAATAATAGAGAGGGAGAAAGATTAACATTTTGTATCATACCATTAAGTTTTTCTTACCATTAACGAACCCAACTGGTGCTTCCATGATAAACTTGATTTATATCGGTGTTCGAAGTAAACATTTTTTTATTGTCATTGATACGTCAACAATTGCTAATGAGTATAACGTTGTACATATTATATTCATGTATGTACCTATACTCGATTCATTTTTATCATTTGAAATGACTAAGAACAAATAAAACACAGAGATTTATTATCTAAAAAGTTTCATTTCATAGCATTTACAAATAATAAATTAATCTATGAAATTAAATTGAAAATTTTTCATGTTATACGGTATGATTCAATATATATATATATATACATATGTAAAATGTATATGAAATATCATTAACTACTTTTATGTAATTTACGATCAAATGAAAATAGAGAGAGAGAGAGAGAGAGAGAGAGAGGGAGAGAGAAAGAGAGAGAGAGAGAGAGAGAGAGAGATATTAAGTTAATTTTTTTAATCTTATAAATTTGTAGAATAATATATAAGTCTTATTTTCTTCTTCTTCTTCTTCTTCTTCTTCTTCTTCTTCTTCTTATAGGTTAGGTATCTTCATTGAATCTATTACAAATAATGACTCTAAAGTTTTTCTAAGTTTGTATAAGTCGTTTAGATAGTACGATAAATTGACATGTATGATAATCCACGTCACGAAGGATATACGTGCAAGTAAACATATAAATCAATTACATATGACCTATGCTAACGAATTTAAAGACATATTTTTTTTAACAAAACATAAATCATGAGAAGTACGGTATTTAGGAAAAGATTAATGTATGTATGTTGTGTGTGTATGTGTGTATATATATATATATATATACACAACGTTTTATATCTAACAAAGTGTCTCTAACGACAAAGTTAACATGTAATATCTGCTGTACAGTTCTCACTTGGAACAAGCATTGTTTTTGTAAATACTCGATAAAATTTCTTCTCTTCTTTTTTTCTACCTTTTTCTTTTCTTTCTTTCTTTTTTCTTTTTTTTCTTCTTTTTTTTTCCAACGAGAAAAATATAAAACAAATATATCAGAAGAAGAATTATGAATAAATAAGCTAAATATATATTCTTCTATGAATGATAATAAAGTAATTAGTAATTTAAAAATAATTATCGGCCAGCTTCGAACAAAACTTTCGAGTAAACATTATATTAAATGCTTATTTAAGAACAAACATGAAGTGAACATTCATGAAATAATATACATATAGGTGTTACCTAAAGAGTTTATCATGTTTAAAGAAAAAAATCATTATAATTTATTGATGGTTTAATTATATATTCAAAATATTATTATTATTAATAATAATAATAATAATAATAATAATAATAATAATAATAATAATAATAATAATAATAATAATAATAATAATAATAATAATAATAATAATAATAAATATAATATGTATTTATGTACAAGCCCATGAATAATGCGAATAATGCAGGATACCTACTGTTGTAAATAATATATGTATGTATGTACCTATGTCATACCGATGTATAAGTGTCATATCAATTATGGAAGTTGCCTCAATCATATAAATATATATATATATATATATACATATATATATATATATGTATATATATATATATATATAAATATTCTTTTTTTTCATCCCAATAATTACATATGATAACGTAAATGGATGTAAAAAAATAAATGATGTAATTTGTCAAGATTTCTAGGCCACTTTCATAATTACATAGATATGTTTACGTAGTTTTACTTTCATGGGGGGAAAAAAGAAAAAAAAAAAAAAAAAAAAAAAAAAAGAAAAAGGAAAGAAAGAAAAAAAACCTCTTAGTCGCACTCAAATTAAAAATGTATACTTTCGATTTAACTATTATTAAAAAGAGTTTGACAGAGCTAGATAATGTTATATTTCGCCGGACGAAGGTCGCCTTGCATCGCAAGTTCCTTTCACATTCTCGCCTTTTATCTTAATTTTATAGGGGCTGTGCTAAACTCAATGTAATTAAAGCTCGTATCTAATATAATCATTATAATTATAATATTATATATATATATATAATATTATATTTAAATATATATATATATATATATATATAATAGTATATAAGAATAATAATAATAATTGTAATATGTATACTCTGTGCCTTATCGTCTTTATCTCTTACGCGTATAAACGTGCACAAAATACATACATATAATACATATATACATATAAGCATACATGCATAAATATGTATGTCTTTATAAACAGTAATATGATCGATGGAAATATGAACATGCCTGGCCGGATGTAGGTATAGCTGTATGAAAAATTCAAACATTAAGATTAATGGTTTCATTGTATACAGATATATTATCTATTTTTTTCTTTTTTTTTTTTCTTTTTCTTTTTTTTTTTTAATGTAAACGACCGAGTGAGTCACTATTCTTAAGATCATACGAAGGAACTGATTACTTTTCTTCCCTTTTACTTTTTTTCTTCGACTCGTTTATTTCTAACACGCGCATACATGTGTTGAGCATGTAATGCTGTCCAAATATATATATATATATATATATATATATATATATATATATATATATTTAAATATAGATATATAGATATATATACATATATTGTAAAAGTTCCACACGTGTTTCATTTTGCACATCACACTTTTTTTATTTACTTTGTCTGATCATATGAGACTGCAAACGAATACTGAATGATTTATTAGAAATTGTAGTGTAATTCAATAAGACCTTTGACGACAACTCATGCTAGCTTATCTCGTTAATGTTTTATTACAAAATTTTGTCATCGTTCTTCTTGTCACAGTATTTCTATTATATATATATATATATATATATATATATATTCTATTCTTATTTATATTAGTTTAATAACAAGTGAATATTAAAAAGTAAAAAGAAACGGCTATAGTAATTGACCAAATTATATCATTATGTACATGTATATGTGTATATATATATATATGTATGTATATATATATATATACATACACCTGGTTTCTTATCTATTGATAATATAACTATATCTATTTCATAGGAAATAAGAATACATAGAATATTTGTTAATAGTGTTGTATTCATTTATAAGGTTGTGTTCTATTTTCTTTTTTAATGCGTTACTACTTAAAAATATTTTCAAAAAGTTAGAAAAAGTAAAAGAAAAGGATTCTTTAATTTCAAAACTTGTATTCGCCTTATACCTATCTTATATTAATGAGAAGAAAGAAATATGTATGAGGAATGACACCCTACCGTATTGCATTTAAGTTAAATATTGTAATTCATAGAAAGTAATATTGTGCCCAATCATACCAATCAACATTTCATGAACCATTGATTATGAAAATAGCCTGGATTATATATATTCATAAATTATTGTAATATAGATCAATGAAAGGGAGTAATGATAAATTGAATTTATTTAAATTTTGGACTTGGGC